AGCAAAGCCCACTCTTCTCATAAAGAAGAGCCAGGCAAGAATTACAGCTGAGCAAGAAGCTGAGAGTAGAGAGAAGCAGCACAGCTATTAATCAATGGGGTCTGGCCTAGCCACGTCTGGTGTAGCCTATATGAACCTTGCCCAGCATGGCAGTGCCCTCTTGGGCTGCGTGCAATAGGGTAGCATCTGATGGAGACTACATGTCCAGTGGAGACCAGCAGAGAGCAGGCTAGATATGTTAAAGGCATAAAATACCTTTCACGATACCATATTATGCTAGCCTTTTATGTTAGCTATTCAGATTGTATAAAAAACAAAACAAAATTAAAAAAATCACTTAGGTTTTAATGGCTTAGCTTTTCTCTTTCCAGCAGGCTGTCTGTTTCTTATCCAGGTCCCAGCCCTCCTATCTGGCACCCCTTCTTTTCAGCCCTACTTTTCTGAGCCCAACAGTTCTCCCCCAATATCTGGAATCTTCTATCTATGTTAGAAATCTTTAGTTTCCTAGCTCATCAGTTTCTCTCTGTCTGTAACTTAAGGGGTGGGACCCTTCCCCACATGGGATGCTTCCCTTCCCCACCTGAATGAGCTTCCCTGACCCTGTCTCCCCTAGCTGAAGCCTCTTACTAGACCATCAGACCTGCCTCTTCTCCATGCCTGAGGACTATGGTGCCTAAGATTCTCTGGTGAGAGCCCTTTGTGTATCCCTTTCTTGCATCTTCCCAGCCCAGTTTTGGAGGAGGGTGCTGGGCTTCCCTAGTTTGGAAATGCCAGTACTGCACCCACAAAAAAGGAGGAAGGAATAGGGCATCCAGTGGCCTACTCTAGCATTCTTCCCTTTTCCCTGCCTCCTGATTGTTTGTGGTGTCTCTTCTTAAAGTACCTGGCTTCCACTTAAGGGCTTTCTTTTAAACATTCCAGATAAAAGGGCACATTCATTTAATCCAAGCAATGGCCCTAACTAAGCTCAAAAGTTATTGATGATTAACTGTTGACAAAATTTAGGTGTGTCTCTTTACTTTAAGGAAATCCCAAATGTGCAAATTTAGATTTGCAGAATACTGATGTTAGGGGTTAATTTTATTAAAGATTCCTTTATATAGCAAGAACTGGGCATTTAAAAATATGATTTGATGTCTAAAAATTCTGTTTACACAGTCTTTCAGGTATATATATCCAATTCAGTGGTGGGGAACCTTCAGCCATGAGGCCACATGTGGCCCTCGAGGTCCTCAAGTGCAGCCCTTTGACTAAATCTAAACTTCACAGAAAAAATCCCCTTAATAAAAGGATTTGTTCTGTAAAACTTGGACTCGGTCAAAAGGCTGCACTTGAGGACCTCGAGGGCCACATATGGCCTTGAGGCCACAGGTTCCGCACTCCTGGCCGAGAAGCCTGCATAAATTACTGGGGAATAAAGTTAGAAATCAAGTTGTTCTTGCCCCTTTAACTAGCAGAAAGCAATCCCTAAATGTATGACCTTTTGGCATATTCACTGTGAGTGATGGCTTTAGAGTAGGGGCTGTTTATCACTGGAGTGTTTTCAGCAATGTAGAAAAATCAGAATTTGTGAAGGAGGTGATGGAATGTACTTAGAAGAGAATCTTGGCATGCAAAATAAACATATGTTACTCAGACTTAGTTAAGCTAAATTGGGGATACCCATCCTTCCTACTTCTTAAGCTTTAATTAAAATAATTAACACGAGGGATTTAATGTAAACTCTGAATATTATGAAAGAATAGGAAGACCTAAGATGATAAAAATATTACGTATTATTGGAAAAATAATAATTATTATTGCAAAGCTTATTATTTACTATTATTTTAAAATTTAAAAAAAATTTATATTGACTCCAAGAAGTAGTAAAGTGTATAGGGAGTTGGCCTTGGAGCCAGGAAGATCTGGATCCAAGTCTTGCCTTTGACCTATACTGACTTTGTGACCCTGGATAAATTGTAACCTGTCAGTGCTCTAGACCTCTTTAAGACTATATCTTGTAGGAAAAAAAAGAAAAAAAGACTGCTTTGTAGAGAAAGTGCCAGTATGCTTTAGTAGAGGGCGCTTCCTTATGGAAAGGTTCCCAAAACTAGTAAAATTATAGATCCAGCATCTATCCTTATCTGTTTAATTTTAAAAATAAATTTATTGCTATATTTTGTTTTCACACAACAGATACTTCCCAACAAACACCAAAACAAACTCTTTTATAAAGTCCATTTTCACTAGCTGTCTCCTGTGCCCGTGCCTGGAATGTTCTCCCTCCTTGGCTCTATCTTCTATCTTCCCTGACTTCCTTCGAGACTCAGCTCAGATCTCACGTTTCTGAAAGAGGCCTGTTTTAGTATTCTTCTTCTTTGCGCCCCCCCCCCCCCCCAGTGTCTTCCCTCTGAGACTGTCTCCGAGTTACACTGTATTCAGCTTGCTTTTTGGTTTTTTTTGGACTTATTTGTATGTTTTCTTCCCCATTGGAAGTTGGGCTTCTTGAAGGCAGGGGTTGTTTTTGCTTTTCTTTGTAGCCCTACCTCTTAGCACAGTGCCCTAAACATAGCGAGTGCTAATAATTGTTTGTTGACTGACTGAAATCCCGGAAAAAAAATTGGGCTTTGATTATTAACAAAAAGGAGGGAATGCACCCTTAAACTTTTTCGTTGTGCTATCACTTTGGCTGTTTTAATTGAACAATGTTTCATTACTTCTCTGTGTTATTTTTACATACATTGGTGGAGCCATTATACTTGTATATTTATACAATGGTACAAACATTTTGTATGTTGTTGTTTTTGCTCTGCTTTCTTCATTGTGTATTGCGTCATGTGAGTCTTACCACGTATCTTTGAATTCATGACATTCCTCATTCCTTACATTTGCTGTAATAGTCCATTCCATCCATATACCATAAATTTGCAAAACATTTTTTTCCTGTAAATAGTCTGCAAAAAAGTGGTTTTGAAGTAAATTTTTCTAGAAGGATGCCATCCTCCACTGAAGTTCTACTCTGGTGCTCCACCTTGTTGTGGAGTTGACCCTGGAATCTCCAGGGCTGTGGCAGCAAGGGCTAGCAGCTCCCACCAAGCTAAAAAGGTTTTGACTGTGACTTGGTTGATAGACTGTGCATATATCTGCTTTCTGGGGACCAACCTGGCTAAGATTGGAGATGCTTGTCAAAAGGCTGGCCACAGGGTGATAAAGGTTTTGGCTACCCAGTAAAAATTCAGTTATTTTTCAGTCTTTCCAACTCTTCAGGACCTCATTTAGGGTTTTCTTGGCAAAGGTACTAGAATGGTTTGCTATTTCCTTCTTTAGCTCATTTTACAGATGAGGTTACTAAGGGTGAAGTGACTTGCCCAGGGTCGCATAGCTTGTAAGTGTTTGAGGCCAGATCTGAACACAAGAAGATGAATCTTCCTGACTCCAAGCCTGGCACTCTATCCGTTGTACCACCTAGCTGCCCCACACAGCAAAAGACCATCTCCCAAATCACAGAAGATCTGCAATCTGTATCAGTGGATGGAGAGCCTGCACCAATGAATCATGGATCTTAAATGGACTGATCTTGAATTATTGAAGGTCACAGAATCAGAATTTTAGAGTTGTAAGAGACCTCAGTGACCATTTAGTCCAACCCATACCTATCCATTCCCACTATAATATTACTGACTATAGTCATGCAGCCTCTGAACCACTTTGGGTTGAGGAAAACCATTCCCTTTTAGGATACTTCTAATTGTTAAGAAAATTTTTTTCCCTGATATCAGATCTATATGTGTGTATACACATACACACACACACAGAGATGTATATATGTATATACATATAGATTCCTTCTGTTTTCTTTTAGGAATATCTAGTGGGATGTGATACCAATATAGTGTAGAAAATAAACACAGACAAAAACCAAACCTATTTGTCTCTTTTAATTTTATTTTTATTTAATTTTATTTGTCTATCATGTCTTTTTGTTGTTGTTGTTGTTTCAGTTATTTCCCATCTACAATCTGAATGATTTTTTTTTTCTTTTTAGGCAATTGGGGGTTAAGTGACTTGCCCAGCTAGTAAGTGCCAAGTGTTTGGTTTGAGGCCGGATTTGACTTCAGGTCTTCCTGACTCCAGGGCCGGTGCTCTATCCACTGCGTCACCTAGCTGCCCCCCTGAATGAATTTTCTTGACATTGCTTTTAGAGATATAGAGAGATCCAAAGAGGAAAAAGATGCCTGGCAAATAGGAGAGTGAACAAAGACTTTGTAATGAAAGGATACAGGTTTAACTTATGCCTTTGATGTTTACTTCCTGTGTCATCCTGGGCAATCAATCAATCTACAAACATTTATTTATTGCCTACTATGGGCCAGGCAGTGTGTTAGGCATTCTTCTAACCTTCCTAGATAGCATTTTCCTTACCTATAAAATGAAGGGGCTGAACTAGATCTTTGACATCGCTTTTCTTGCTCTATGGTCCTGTTTTCTTTCTGGGAGGGATTCTTAGTGCACAGAGCATTGAATTTAGAATCAGACAACCTGGATTCAAATTTTGACTCTGCCCTTACTGTTTTTGTGATCTTACTACCTGTGTGATCATGGACAAGTCACAACTTCCATGAACCCAGAGGTGTGCATTTACATAAACCTGTGCATTTCAGTGTAAGCATTTACACTTCAGAAACTGGCAATACAAATCAGGACTTGAGTTGTCCGGAGTTAAGAAAGTGATGGAGAAAATGTTAATAATGCTGACTAAACTTCAAAGTGTGTTGTGCATGCTTTTTTTTTTTTTGAGAGCTAATTATTAAACATTTACCAATGGATCACTGCCTCAACCTCAGTTTTTTTCAGCTACAAAATGGGGGGATTGGATTAGACAACATCTAGAGTCCCTTCCAGCTCTAAATCTGATTCACATAAATTCATGATCTTGAATCTTAAATCTATGATCTGAATCTATGATCTTTGAAATGAAGGAAGCACTTAGCAAACTAAGACAAGGAGTGACTGGGTTCCATGTTTCACCATCTTTATTGCAGTGATACCACTTACTTTGGTAAATTCACATTCCAGTTTAAAAGGCCTCCAAGCAAGTCAAACTTTGTTACAAATTCAAGTATTTTAAAATGTACATGTTATAAGCACGGAGAGCTGCATAGTAGAGTTACTAAAGACATTCGCGACGCCATGGGCACTGAACAGAAATTTCACTAGATACATAGCTTATGATTTTCTGTTGCCTAGCAATACAATGGCTGTAGAACAGAGACCTGAATAGTTATATTTAAAATAGAAAAAAATAAAATAAAACCAGAAGGAGGACATCAGCTGTATAACAGCAAGTTTAGTTCAATTGCTGATACACTGGTAAACATTTAACTGGCTGCTGTGTTCTCAACAAAATGAAACATCCCTTGTCACCAAATGGAAGAAACTAAACTTGCAAAAATTTAAATTGATTGAAAGAAAAAATTTGAAATTTCTTATGTTCCTGTATTATCATGTGAAAGATATGCTTTTTTCCCCATAGCTAAAATGTGCGTTTTCAAGTTTAAATTGGAAATGGGAAATACTATAAAGGCTTTACTAAAATGCTGACAAATCTGTAGCCCTTAAATGTTGATCCATTGACTGGAGAAGTATGGCCAGTTGAATTTAACCATAATTCTTGACTAAAAACGAGTGAGTGGGCCATTAGAGTAAATGAATCTTCAATGTCTGAAGCCCTAAAATAAACTCTATTAAGCAAGTTTTGTTATTTTTTTAAAAGGGATATTCCTCATGTATATGTTTTCTTGCTTGTGTTTTTACAGTTTAAACAATTTCTGTATTTGAAGATCTTGCAAAGAACTCCTAGCTTGACTTAACAATAAGATATATCTTGATATCTACAGATGAGTCAAAGACATGTTAGGAGAATATTTTACCCTATTTAGCACCCAACCTGAGATGCTTATTGGACACTGATGTTACCTACATTTAATTTTGTAGAGGAGAAAACTGTGGTGGTGAGCTTTTAGGTAACTATTAGTGTTCTCTTTTAACCACTTCTGGTAACTACAGCAACCATTTCATCACTTTGTTTTTTCTTGCCATGTTTGTGTGGGCTATAAATTCTGTTGGCAGCATGCTGAATATGGTGCTTTGTGGGTAATGACTTTTCTTTGGAAGTCGGGAAGACAACAAAGACCAAAACTTGGACAGTGTAGACTACTATTATTTAACTGTAGAACTAGGCTTATGGGGTATTCTTGTAGGTTGGACAAAGCTGGTTGTGGAAAATAACTCAGTTGGGGTGGGTTGTTCTCTGCTATACATATACAGCTGATCCCAAAGAAAAATTACTGGCAGGTGAATAGTGTGTTCTCCTTTAAAAGGTTGTTAACATTTTTTTTTTTGTAGATAGAAAATAGGGTTCAAGTATATGATGGCTGGTCATGGGTTGGGATTAAAAAAAAAGAAAGTCTTTTTAAGTTTCAAAATTTTTTGATGATGAATAAGGTGGTTATTGCTACTCTTATAAGGCTGACTAAGAAAAGAAAAACAACATTGAAGTATCTTGGTTGAAACATTCAAACATTAAAAAGCAATTTTGGGTTAAAATGTAAGATATGACTGAGACATTTTAATTCTTAAAACCCCTCGGTGTGTGAGTAGAAGGGGAATTGGGGGAGGGAAACAATATTTAGGAAGTAAGTAAAACAAAATAAGTAATATCTATCAATTTAAAAAAAGTCACGTCCAAAATAACTATTAGATGTTGGATTTTGAAAAATTTATTCCCTTATCCTTTCTTTTTCAAAGAGAATTACATGTTCATTATATATGTTAACACAATGATTTAATAAATTTCCTTTTAATAACATTTGGAGACACAAAGGGGACAGTGTGGCTCATCTAGATTCATCTGGATGTTATTTTCAAATCCCTTTGAACACAGTCTTTGGATTAATTAGCTCCTGTTGAAGGTTTGATAGAGGGGATGCTGCATGACCTCCGCATAATGAGCCTGACCTCTATGTCGGGTAGATTATCCTGTTTAGTCTGTAAGCACCCTTCATCTGTGGCTGCTAAGTGTAGATCAAATCGTAGAGAAACAGATTTTTTCCTTAATCGTGGGTTATCTTTAAAGAAAGAACCTTCCCATTCTTTAATAACTTCATCCACTCTTTCTGTCCTGAAACGAAAAATTAAATCTTTTTGTATTAAGCAAAGAATTAATGTATTGGATGGAAAACAGTAAAAAAAAAACATGGGGAAGGGTAGGAAATCTAGGGAATTTTTGTAGAGAAAGATATGACTAAACTTTCTATGGAGGCAAAACATGTAAAGTTCTGTTTTGGGGTTGTATTTTTGGGAGAAATAACAAATGAAAGGGTTAGTCCTATTATAGCTGAGCTTTTGTTCAGTTAAATATATTTGTAAACATCAGTTTATTAGGAAGAGTAGATATTTATTTCAGATTAAAATTTGATATATTAGCTTAATTTAAGAATTTGATATATTAGAAAATGAAAGAAAATGATATATTAGAAAATGAAAGATTAATTTAAATATGGAAAATAATTAGATTTTAACTGTTTTCATTACGGGATTACTCATTTATTTTTGATTTAAATAAATACTTTCAATTTATTTCTTCTTGTTTCCTTGCAAGTCACTCATTTAACATCTCCATGCCTTAGGCAACTCTCTAAAAATAACTGGGAAGCTTATGACCTACATTGGTAGAATTTCTCCACCTAGGAGTTTCCTGTGACAATGAAATTATAGGTCTGGTCCTCATCCCCATCCCTATCCCCTGCATAAATATTTTTTCTTACTGTATGGTCCCATGGGCTTCAGTACTTTCCTTCACAACGCTTCCGTTTAAGATGGCCTGTTTGGTCACAGTTTCTACCTTTTCTTTCTCACGTTTGTGTATGACCTCTGTTGAAAAAGACACTTCCTGAGGAATGTAGCATTTACCAGATATGGAAACTTATTATTCATTAAAGCATTAAATGATGAGAGTTAGCTTGGAATAATACATTAGAGGGAAGACCTGATCCCAAGTGCTACTTCAGACACACACATTCCTTTCCTTAGCCCTCTGGATGAAAGAAAATGTCTGTGTGCCACCCTCCCCTTCCCCCCCATTCCCTTGTATACATTTGTTATATGTTTTTATAGTGTTTATTCCAAGAGTATGTAAGCTTTTTGATGGTCGAAACTTTTATTTTTGTCTTTGTACCTCTGGTGCCTAACACACTTGCTGGCACATAGTAATTACTTAATAAAAGCTTGTTGATTGACTTTTTTTTTTTAGCTGTGGGACCATGGAAAAGTCACTTAAATTCTCAGTGCCCCATGCAAATCTTTAAGAATATAAATTAGCCTGGGGTCTGTTAACTTGATTTTTTTTTAAAAAAAGAATTTTGATAACTGTATTTCAACATAACTAGTTTCTTTTATAATATTCTGTTTTTTTGTTTTATGCATTTAAAAACACTGCTCTCCAAAGGAGTCCATAGGCTTCACCAGACTGCCAGGACACACACAAAAAGCTAAGGAACCTTTATTATAGGCAATTGTTGATCTGGTGGAAAGCATTTTCACATGCAAAGTTCCCTTTGCCAATGAATCCTAGGCCCAGTCAACTAAATAGTAACTTACAATTAGTTACAGGCTATATTAATTAATTTAAATTTTGAGTTTTTACTCGCTGTTTTTAATATTCAGTGTCAAATCATGATATATAATTGCTATAAATGGTCAGTGGTAATAGTAATAACATTTTAAGATTTGTAAAACACTATATCTATACCATCTCATTTGATCCTTACAACAACCCTATTGAAGTAGATTATTGTTATTATCTTCATTTTACAGAGGAAGAAAGTAAGGCCAAGAGAGCTTAAGTGACTTGTCCAGGGTCATATAGTCATAAGTGTCAGGTAGGATTTGAACTTCCGGACTCAAAGTCCAGAACTCTAGCCACCAGACCACCTAGCAGCCTAATTTACTAATGTCAGCAAACTCACCTGGAGGTAAGATGAAGCCTACTCGACTTGTAGTAGGCTTTATATCTTCTTTCCCAGATTGAATAGAACCATAGTATCTGGGAAAAAAAAGAGTGATTAAAAAAATTAGATTAGTTAATCAAGATCTTGAATGAGAAGGACATTATTAATATACATTAATTATGGTTTGAAAATTTTCATTCATATTTCTCCAAGGGCTTAGTTAGTATTTCATGTATCAGATATTTAATAAATGTCTGTTAATGATACACATGTGTAAATACCTAAAAAGAATAAACACACAGTTAATGAAAATTAATTTTTGGAAGGTTTTAAAAGAAAAATTTCATCAGATTCCTTTGAAATAATTGGAGATATCTGAGGTGTCAGCAAACTCAAATGGGGAGTTATTGTTCTAGAATTTCGCCTGAGAGGCTTCTAGAGTTAAGTCATAATATCAAGTATGTATAAAAGAGGCAAATTTATCTTCCATCTTGTGAAGGAAAGGGCCTGGTAATGTAAGCATATCCTTGAATTTATGACGTTTGCTGGCTAAAGCCATTTCATGACCTTAATTGTAGCAGATATAGTTTTGAAATAGTCAATTAATTCATTTCTTAGATATCTTCTCTCCCCACACCCAAAAAAACCCCAAACAAACAAACCCTGCCCCAACATACAAACAAATAACCCCCCCCCCAGCAAAGTATAGGGATTTTGTTTTATGGACACTTCTCAAATTAGAAGTCAAGTGACATCACTGCCCCCTGAGCTTGTAAGTGGTTGAACTGAAATTGCAGTTCTTGGGAATGATTCAATTTAGGGTTTCATGGTAAACATCATTCCTTCCTGTCGACATAGAGCTGCCTTCTAAGTCACGTTAGAAAAATGTTGTTCTGCCTTTGCTGTAGTATCACATTGTGCTCACTCACATCTTGTTGTTGCTGTTGTTGTTATTGGGCTTATTTCATTGCTACTGGGAACTCCTGGTGAGGTAACTCTCTCTACCAATGCAGGCCAACGTCTGCTCTTCTGCAATTTAAAGTCTCAGAGAGAGTTGCCTGAGGAACTGAAAGGCTGAGTGAGTTTCCCAATGTGAACCAATGTTTCAGAGGCCGGATCTGAGTACAAGTTTCTGTGACTCTGAGGCTAGCCTTTTATCTACTGTGCTACACTGTGACACACTGACAGAGGATTGATTATAAGTAGTAGTGATGTATGGATTTTAACATTTTCACCTTATTTTGTGGTTGGTTCATGCAAGACACAAAATGGTCTAAAAAGACATGTGAGTCCTGAGCATAAGGGAGTGCAGATGAGCACAAAGCTCACTTGTCAGTATCTGAGAATTACACATTTACTACGCCTGACTCAAGTATTTCCACTGCTGACTTATACAGGGCCAAGACCTAATCTTCCATCTGTTAATTATAGTCCCCAACCAGAAAGACTCATCTTCATGAGTTCAAATCCAGCCTCAGACACTTACTAGCTGTGTGACCCTGGGCAAGTCACTTAACCCCTTTTGCCTCAGTATTCTCATCTGTAAAATGAGCTGGAGAAGGAAATGGAGAACCACTCCAGTATTTTTGCCAAGAAAACCCCAAATGGGATCATGGAGAGTTGGACATAACTGAAAAATGACTTAACAACAATTTACCTTAAGTAAAGGGACTGGACTTGGGGGTTTCATTGGCATAGGGAACTCCCAGATGAGGAAGCTCCCATTACCAATGCAGGCTGGCACTTCCTCTGTAACTTAGAGTTTTACGGGGTTGCCTAAGACTGCCAAGAAGTTAGGTATATCCCCAGGGTCACAGAGCCAATACATGCCAGAGCTGGGACTTGACCTCAGATCTTCCTGACTCTGGCTTCTCTCTAGCCACTGTGTCATGTTGTTTCTAGCCATTATCTTAGGAACTTGATAAGTCGAATGTGGTGGTGTGCATGGTTTGGAGGATAGATTTTTTGGGCCTGTGTTCTCTTTCTCTTTCTGGTCACTTCTCTCTGTGCATGGAGTTGGGTACCTGATTTCTTCTTTTTCCAGAAGGCGGCGATAGGTCGCTATCTCTTGTTCTAGCCTCATCTTTGTGTTGAGTAGCATCTCATGCTCTCTGAGTTGCTTTTCGATGCCTCTCCTCACTTCCGCCAGTTCTTTCTCTAGGCCCTCGATCACAGCCTCCAGGTCTTGAAGTTGCATCTGGTAATGTTGCTCTGACTCTTGTAGTGAATTTTCTAGGCCCCTTTCCTGTATAACCAAGACAGTATTGGTGATGCAAAATGTAGCTTTGAAATCTGATTTGAACTGTCAGCAGTGGTACATATTTAAACATGTTATATAGAGGTTTCTTATGTTACAACAGGGATTCTTAACCTTGGTCTGTGTACAGATTTTGGAGAGGCATTTCTGTGAGCGTGGATGGGGAAAAATTATACCTTCATTTTCACTAACCTCTAGCTGGCATTTAGCATTTCTTTCAATTATTTAAAGTCATTATTCTCAGAAGGAGGCCATAGGCTTCACCAGACTGCCCAAGGCGGCCATGACATAGAAAAAGGGAAGAATGGGCTTATACCCCAAGGAAGGGATTGAAAATGAATGAATCTTCATGTATTCCAAAATACTTATAGCAGCACTTTTTGTGATAGCTAAGCATTGGAAACAAAGTAGTATTCCCCATCAACTGAGGAATGGCTAAACAAATCGCGATACATGAATGAAATCGATTATTATTGTTCTATAGGAAAGGATGCATGTGATGAGTACAGAGAAGCATGGAAAGATCTACATGAACTGATGCAGAGTGAAGTAAACAGAATCAAGAAAACAATATAGCAGCTAGGTGGTGCAGTGGATAGAGCACTGGCCCTGAAATCAGGAGGACCAGAGTTCAAATCTGGCCTCAAACCAAACACTTGATACTAGCTGTGTGACCCTGGGCAAGTCACTTAACCCCAATTGCCTAAAAATTAAAAAAAAATTAAAAAGGGGCAGCTAGGTGGCACAGTGGATAGAGCACCAGCCCTGGATTCAGGAGGACCTGAATTCAAATCCGGCCTCAGACACATAACACTTTTAGCTGTGTGGCCCTGGGCAAGTCACTTAACCCCATTGCCCAGCCAAAAAAAAAAAAGAAAACAATATAGCCAGTAACTATAACAATGTAAATGAAAAGAACAATCCCATACACACACACACAAAAGTAAATGTTACAAAATTACGAAGACCAAATATGACTTAAATGAAGATATGAGAAGACAGCCCCAACCCACCCCTTGTACCCGTAGGAGATCACGAGTGTTACACATTATATGTTTTCAGACTTTTTCTACATATTGATCAATTGTGCTGATTTTTTCCCCTTTCTACAAAATACTATTTGTTATGTAGGAAGGCTCTCTGGGATGGGAAAGAAGGGGGATATGTGGGATAATTATGATGATATAAGAAACAGAAGATATCAGAAATAAAACCTTTTTTTTTTAAAGGTAAAGAACCCCTTCATTACAAGGTTACTTATAGCGTATACTTCACTTTATATAATAAGCCATCTTCTCCAGCTCTGGCTGTCTCCCAACATACTAATCCCAGAAGGGGAGTTCACATACTCCTTGTTACCCATTGCCACTTCAAGACCCTTCTCCTGCCATCATAATAATATTAGCTAACATTTATTAGTACTTTATTGCATCAGACATTGTGCTAACTGCTTTACAATTATTATCTCATTCAATTCTTGCAACAACTCTAGAAGGTAGGTGCTATTATTATTCCCAGATGAGGATGAGGAAACACGTGATTCACTGATGAGAAAACCAAGGCAAACAACAGGTAAGTGACTTGCCCAGGGTCACACAGCTAGCAGTATCTGAGGCTAGATTTGAACTCAGGTCTTCTTCACTCTAGGCTTAACACTCTATCCATTGTGCTGCCTAGCTGCTTCTATTCACTTAGCAAGTAACCTCTTTTTAAAATTTTCAAAAAAAATTAATTTAGTTTATTTTTTTTGTTACATTTTAACTTCTGAACTGTCTCCCTCCCTCTCTCCTTTTATCCCTCCCTCTCTCCCAACCCCACACTAGAAAAGTCCACCATTTGACACATATGTAAAACCATACTATGCTTATTTCTATTTATCAGTTCTTTCTCTGGAGGTGGATAGCATCTCCCTTCATAGGTCCTTTGTAACTGATTTATGTATTTTTTAATACTCAGAATAACAGAGTTGTATACAGTTATTCTTTGAATTACATTGCTGGTACTGCATACAATGTTCTCTTGGTTCCGTTTATTTCGCTCTTCATATTCATGCAGGTCTTTTCACATTTTTCTAAAATCAACCAGCTCATCATTTCTTATAGCATAGTAGTATTCCATCACAGTCATATACCATAACTTGTTGAGCCATTTCTCAATTGATGGCATACCCTCAATTTCCAATTCTTTGCTACCACAAAGAGAGCTGTTACAAATATTTCAAAACATACAGGCTCTTTCCCTTTTTTCCTGATCACCTTGGAAAACAGACCTAATAGTGGTCTTATTGGGTCAAAGGGTATACTGTTTTCTTTTAATTCTCTGGGCATAACTCTAGATTACTCTCCAAAATTCCATAATGCTCTCCATAATTCCACATTGCTCACAGTTCCACCAACAGTGTATTAATGTCGCAAATTTTCCATATCACCTCCAACGTTTGTCATTTCCTCCTATTATTTTAGCCAATCCAATAGGCATGAGATGATATCTCAAAGTGGTTTTAATTGCATTTCTTTAATCAATAATGATTTAGATCACATTTTTGTATGACTACATATAGCTTTGATTTCTTTATCCAAAAACTGCCTGTTCATATCCTTCGACCATTTATCAATAGGGGAATAACTCATATTCTTACAAAATTTACAAAGTTCTGTATATATTTAGATATAAGACCTTTATCTGAGAAACTCTCTATAAATACCCCACCCTCATTTTCTGCCTTCCTTCTAATCTTGGCTACATTTGGTTTTATATATATAAGCCCTTTTTAACTTAATGTAATTATCCGTTTTACATCTCACAATGCTCTCTATCTCTTGTTTTATACATTCTTCTCCTAACTATAAGTATGATAGGTAAAGTGTTCCATGTTCTTCTAGTTTTCTTATGGTATCTCCCTTTATGTCTAGCAATATATCCATTTTCACCTTATCTTGGTAAATGGTGTAAAATATTGGTCTATGCCCAATTTCTGTCAGACTGCTTTTCAGTTTTCCCAACAATTTTTTTTATTGAATTCTCAACCCCAAAACTTAAATTTTTATATTTGTCAAACACAAGGTTATTATAATCTTTGCTGTTGGGTCTTACATGTCTACACTATTCCACTTATCTACCTTTCTGTTTCTTAGCCAGTACCAGATAGTTTTGACAATTACTGCCTTATAATACAATTTGAGTTCTGGTACTGCTAAATTTCCTTTACATCTTTTGATATTCTTGACTTTTTGTTCTTCCAAATAAATATTATTATTTTTTAGCTCAGTAAAATAATATTTTGGTAATTTAATTGGGATGGCATTGAATAAGTAGATTAGTTAAGACAGAATTGTCATTTTGTCTCTGGCTACCCACGAACAATTAATATTTTTCCAATCATTTGAATCTGACTTTATTTGTCCAGAAAATGTTTTATATTTATATTCGTGTAGTTCCTGGGTTTGTCTTTGCAGTTATACTCCCAGGTATTTTATGCTAGATAGCATAGATAACCTTAACCTTAGATAAGGTTATTTAAGTGGGGTATCTCTTACCCTCTCTTCTTGCAGGGTTTTGTTGGTGATTAGCAATCAACCTCTTTTCTGATGTTCATGCTATATGCAGATATATGACCCAATCCAGTTCATGATGGAAGCTGTCTGTCAGCCCCCAGCTAATTCTGCCTTCTTCTTCAAAGAACTCAATATCTGTATTATTTTTGTTCCACATCCTGAACTTACGCTAGGGAACCTCAACAAAATTGCTGATGCTCCCTCGAATATCCTGGTCACCCATATCCTCAGTCTATTCAGCTCCTGTGACTTACTCCTTTGATCCATTTCAGCTCTACATAGGGTTTGCCATCACTCACAAGGGTTCTACTTTCATTGTCAAGAATTCTGATGTTCCTCTATCTGACTACAACCTTGTATCATCCCATCTTTCCTGACTCCTTTTAAATGTTTTCTTTGTCCTTACTCTCACCTCCAAGCTCTCTAACTCTCAATATTCTTCCAGGTTATCACCTCTGGTCTGACTGCCCTTTCCTCCCTTCCCATACCCTTAACTATTTCAACTTTATATTGTCTTCTATTCTAGAATCTCTTACCTCCTGATCCTATCATGATCCTTTCACATACTTGGCCAAACCCCAAACCTGGATTACCTTTGCCATATTCATACCAAATTACCCAGGTTTGCAACTTGGGAATCATCCTGAATTTCTTACTCTTCTTCACCCCACACTAGGATGTGTGGGAAGGTTAAGGATGTCCCTTTGTACCCAAAGCAGGATAGTTTAGATCATTATCCCATCTCACTTGGACTTTTACAAAAATCTCCTAACTGGTTTCCTTGTCTTGTCTCTGCCCTCTCTGATCTGCCTTCTATTCAGCTGTCAGACTGATATTCCTAAAGCAAAGCACAGGCCTTACCGTGGAACTACCCTGCTTAGAAAACTCTGATGGCTCCTATCATGTCTGGAAACAAATACAAACTTCTTTATTTGCCGTTTAAAGCCCTGCCTGACCTGGTTTCAACCTACCTTTCTAGGCTTATTTTTCATCATTCCCCTTTACACATATTTCAGTCCAGCCAAACTGGCCTTCCTGCTGGTCCTTACCTAGAGCAATCCATTTCCCATCTCCACGCCTTTATATAAGGCTGTCCCCAATGCCTGGAATAGAGTCTATTCTCACCTCTACCTCTTAGGACCTTTACCCTCTTTAAGAGCTCAGCTGAAACACACTGCCTCTTTCATAAACACTTTTCTGATCCCCCCAGCTGCTAGTACCTCCTGCTTACATTACTTTTTGGGTATACACACACACACACACACACACACACACACACACACATAGATATATATGAGATCATGGAATTAGAGCTAGAAGAGAGCTTAGGAACCACTGAATTCAAATTTTCCATTTTGCAGATGAAGAAACCAAGGCACAGGGAAGCTAAGTGACTTGCCCAGGGACAGCGGACAGGTAAGTGTCTGAGGCCGGATTTGAACCCAGGTCTTCCTGACACCAAGTCCAGCATCCTATGCACTGTGTCAAACATGTTATACATGTTTTCTCTGATGGAATATGAGCTCATTGAGATCAGTGCTTAACAGGAACCAGCTATGTGGCATAGTGGATAGACTGCCATGGAGTTAGGAAAACCTGAGTTCAAATCCGGCCTGAGACACTTACTAGCTGTGTGACCCTGGGCAAGTCACTTAATCCTATTTGCCTCAGTTTCCTCATCTCTAAATGAGCTGGAGAAGAAAATGGCAAACCACTCCATATCTTTGCAAGAAAACCCCAAATGGGGTCACAAATAGTCAGACTTGACTGAAATGACTTGAACAATAGTAAATACTGTGTTGATTGATATCAATTCCTGAAGAATTATATACATACCAAGATGAGGTCAAGCAATGGATAGAGCTCTGGGCCTAGAGTCAAGAAGTCCTAAGTTTGTATCTGGCCTCAGACACATATGAGCTGTGTGACCCTAGGTATGTCATTTAATCTATGTTACAGTTTCCTCATCTGTAATATGAGGATAATAATAGCACCTATCTCCCAGAATTGTTGTGAAGATAAAATGAAATGGCATTTGTAAAGCACTTTCCAAACCTTAAAGCACTATATAAATGCTAGCTATTGATATTGTTATTATATATGAAAGACTTTGCTACGTAAGGACATCCTGGGATGATTCTTTTTGCATAGCAAAGAATCCCTAAGCTTGATTAATCTCATCCTGATTTATCTGTATAACAATATTAAAACTGTCGACTTTCTTCTATCTACATTTTAAGAGGCATGTCTCTTTAGTTTTCTAAGAAAATTTAAAATTAGAATAAAATTAAATTTAAAATTAGAATAGAAAACTATTCTTTGGCAAGGGCTGTTTGGGATAGAACATGTCTCCTCTGCATGAACATTTTCCCAACTGATTGCTTAAAACGAAACAAAACAAAAAAGCCAGCCATCCCTGTAATACTGTGTCTATAAGAATAAGGCATTTGTTATTTCTGACCTTTTCTCTAGGTCCAGAGAATCTTAGGGTTGTAAGCCAAATCTTATCATTTTATTTTCCAGGTGCAGGAAGGCATGGTTGAGCTGACACATGCCACAAAGAAAGGGAGCAAGAGGTCTAGGAATAGAATTCTGTGGCTTTGACCTTGCCCTTCTTCCTGAGACTAATGGGCAGTCTTCCTGTCCCTCTCTTAATCAGATAACAGCAGGAGACTAAATGGACTCATTTTTCTGTTAGGCAGATATGAGGTTAGTTTTTTTGACTAGTCTCACCACGGCATGGAGAGATTCAATTTCCACTTGCAGATGGTGCCACTGACGGCGGGCCTCTTTGAGTTCTGCTCGGGCTTCCTTCAGTGCTTCTTCATCTTTGTCCATTTTCTTACTTAAATCTTCTTCTAGCTACAAAAAAAGGAGGGCATGATTACAAATGAGAAACTTTATAGAAATTCAATATAAAACCACCATAAGGACCAGTCTTTTCTCCAATTGTGTGTGTGTGTGTGTGTGTGGGCACGAACGCGTGTGGTTATAGAACTTGACTTTTTTAGTGTCAGCTCTGCTGCTAATTAGTTCTGTGACCCTGAGCATGTCATTTGATGGCTCTTTGACTTAGTTTCTCTCTATGTAAACTAAATGATCTCTAAGGGCCTCTGGCTTCAAAATTCTATAAAGCATGTAAATATCCATTCACTTTGTGAAAATATAAAAAGTCATTGCTAAGTTTTTTATTTCTTAACTTCTCATAAAGGAGGTCTTCTTTGAATAAACTTGTCCATACCTTTAACTCATTTAAGACTACACAAACACAGTAAGGTAGGGGTAGCCAGACTGACTTAACTAGGAATATTTTGCATCTTGGGCAATCCTCCCAAACCATACTGAGCACAAATAGCAGGAATGGTACCCTCCATAGTGCTTGTGGGGTAGAACCTTGTGGGATGAAACAGAGACTCCAGGTCATCAGGAGGCCACTGTGAGAGAGGCTACCCCATACATTCCCCCTTCTAGAGGAAGGGTTAGGGGTGTGTGGGAGCTAGCTCTCACCATCTCCTAAGAGCTGATTGTTAAATTTTCAGTGTGAGAATTTATACCTTGGAAAACAGCAAATGCTACAAATCAGGCCTTGATTTATTGTTTTGTTGATTGTCTAGACTTAAGAAAGTGATGGAGAAAATATTAACAGTGTATCCTGTATATATATGTTTAAATGTATGCGTATGTGTGTGTATATGTATGTGTATACACATATATAGTGCGTATGCATGCATGTATGTATATATAGTATGTATGTATATACGTAGTATGTGCATTTATATATACATATACACACACACACACACACACATATATATATATATGGGGAAAGAGAGAATGAGGAGAGGAGAGGGAGAGAGAGAGAGAGGAGGGGGAAAGAGATGAGGAGAAAGAGAGAGATGGAGAGAGAGACAGAAAGAGAGACAGGGAGAGTGCTCGCATGCACTAGAGAGCTGGTTGTTAAATATTTATCAGTACACCCCATGGGAAGGGCCATTTGGTAGCTTCCTATTTTGATGAATTAGTCTGGGAAACCAGGGAGCAAAGGTCAATTGCTCATATGCAGCATTCAAGAAGCCCAGTTAATTGGGGGTGAAGGTGGAATAGCAGCTCTCATAATAAACAGATGGTTGGTTTGAAGGACACCAATCCTACCCTCTTAAAAAATACGCACAGAAATCTGTGTTGGAGCTGGAAGGAACTCTAGAGACCATAATTCCAATGCCGTCATTTTACTGAGGAGGAAACTGAAGCCCTGGAAAAAGTTAATGACTTGTCCAAGGTCACAAAGGAAAGCTTATCAGAACTCATACTGAAACTGAAGCTGTGTTCAGATGTGGTCAAATGGAACCCAAATCTCATAGGTTTGTAGGCTCTTACAGTAGGAAGGGATGTTCGAGACCATCTTGTCCAAAACCCCCTAATTTTACAGAGTAACTATAATAACAGCTTTGCTAAGTGCTTTACAAATATCTTGTTTAATCCTCACAGCAACCCTGAGTGGTAGGTGCTATTAACCCCATTTTAGAGATGAAGAAACTGAGGCAAACAGGTTAAATGACTTGCCTAGGGTCAAATGGGTAGTAAGTGTCTAAGGTTGGATTTGAACTCAAAACTTCCTGACTCCAGGACCAGCATGGTATCCACAGCACAATGTAGCTGCAACAGAAACATTGTTAGAGTAGGGAAAAGAACCCAGGTCTCTGGATTATCAGTGATGTGGTCTTTTAGCCAGGGTTTTGAATGTTGCCTGTTCTGGTCTTATGATTCAGTACAAATAACTGAGCAGGAGAAAAGGGCTCTTGATTCTCCTAGGCACGGGAAATTCACAAATATACACACACACACACACACACACACACACACACACACTCCAAGATCCTGTACCCCTCAGTTCTCTGACCTTGGGAAAGTTTGAGCAGCTTCTGAGGGAAAGAAAAAGTCTCCTGATGGAGGAATAGTAGGGTCCCTCTAGAAGGAGCCGAGGAGCTATATTCCTCCCTTGCCTTGCCTTTCCTGAAGCCCACTCCCCCCTTCCTCCCTGCATTACTCTTGCAGAGGCAGGCTGTGCGCAGGGTCAGCAGCAACGTCCCAGAATCTCTAGGTCTGGGGAAGCATTTCTCACTCCAGAGCATTGTATCCCTCTCAATTCATGAGGTGACCCACCACATTTTCAACCCAGTTCTCCCAGCCAACCCCTGGGGTTCTAGACTGTGGGAAATTTTGAGGAGGCAGGGAGAGCAAAACTTTATGGGAAAGAAAAAGATCTGGTAGGCTGTGGCTTGAGTCCCTGAGAAGTCACTTCCCTCCAGTAGGGCTGCCTGCAGGCCATCTCTGTCTATGGGCTGATTGTGGGTGGAGGCCTCATTTTGTACTCTCATCAGAGCTTCTGGGCTTCTTGGCAGCTGTGCTACCTTTTCTCTCCTGGATGTGAGAGGGCCAAAGCTGTTGGCATGTAAGGGATTAGCTGCATGGTTGGGGCCATGCCTTCCTCCCCAACCCTAGGTGTGGCCAGAGTTTGCTCTGCCAGCTTGTGGCCTCTGCCCACCCAGAAGTTTGTGAGAGTGAGCTGTTGCTGGTTCCACCTTCATCATCATTTCCCGTTGTCTAGCAGGAATGGGGAACCTATGGCCTTGAGGCCACATGTGGCCCCCTAGGTCCTCAAGTGTGGCCCTTTCAGTCAAAGGGCTGCAGTTCTCCCCCAGTCATGAAATTACTGATAAAGTCAGGGGGAGGAAAATTCAGTGAATGGCAGTGGAGTTCTATCTCTGCTGTTATTTTTTACATTTATTCATAATTTATGATGCTTTTCAAACAACAAAATCAATCCGATATTTAAAATGATTTATACTTAAAAAAAAGTGAATGGCATCTTAGGTGGTACAATGAATAGAGCACTAGGCCTAGAATGAGGAAGACCTGAGTTCAAATCCTGTCTCAGACACAAGCTGTACGACCTTGGGCACGTCCCTTAGTTCTAATGCTTTAGTTTCCTCAGCTGTAAAACTGAGGGGATTTGACTCAATGGTTTTGAAGTTTTCTTCCAGAGCTAAATCTATGGTCCTATGATATACTAACAACAGCTTAGCTATTTTTTCTGGGTTCCTGTCGGTCCACTTGTTTGTTTGTTCATCCCTATATATAAGCATCGTGTTCTCCTCTGAAACTCAGCATAACCACTGCGCGGTAATGAGGCTATGAGAAGGGGGAAATAAAACCACTTTCCGTCAGTATTTTCTTAGCAAATACCTCACAAAAACCAATCAATAGGTGGCCTGCCCCTCTTAACCAATTAGTGTGGCACTCTGGGACCAAATGCATACATAAAGGAGAAAACAGAGAGAAAGAATTTCACAAACATGTGGAAGTAGATTACTAATTACTTTGATAAATAAACTATCAGAGGAGCTAAAATGTCCCAGAGTTCACAGACCCTGACATTGATATGCAGAAAATTTCACCTCTAAAATGTATTTTTAGGAAGAATGTTGATTTCTCTTATAGAGTAGTGAAGCATTATACCTTTTAAGTTGTGCCCATTATTTTCAGAGTATCCTAAAAGTGAGTATCAAACTGGATTGCTAACCTTATTTTCCTCTTGTGGGAATTAAAGAGTGTTGCCTATGAAGAGAATCCTGACCTGGATGGCTCTTGACAAGGAATGTTAGAGTAACAGTTGACTGTAGCTCCCATTAGGGACTGATTACAGGCTCCTGAAGCAGGAGTTGTGACATGCTATTTAAACTTCTAACAATTGTATTTTTATTGATACTTTTTGTTTTTAAAGCATGTTCTGAATATATTCCCTTCCCTCTGCTACCCAGTGAGGCATCATTTATAACAAACATTTAAAATGGAAGAGGGGAAAAAGGCAGTTGAACAAAATTGATCAACACATCGACCATGACTGACAGTGTTATTCCAAATCCATAGTTCCTCATCTCTGAAAAGAACAGGGGAAGATTCATTTTTTCAACTTTTCTCTGGGTCAGACTTGGTCATTATAATTGTACAACATTTTCCTTCCTTCCTTCCTTCCTTCCTTCCTTCCTTCCTTCCTTCCTTCCTTCCTTCCTTCCTTCCTTCCTTCCTTCCTTCCTTCCTTCCTTCCTTCCCTGTCTTTTTTCCATTTATGCTATTGTAGTCATTGGAACTATAATTTCCTCGGGCCTGCTTGGTTGTGACTTGCAATTTCATATTCTGTTCAGAGATTTTAGAATTATAAATTCAGCTTTGATGAAGACAAGGAAATTTCAATTAGGAAATGGTTTCGAGTCAGTGAAAGTTTGTGGATAGAAGAGGTAGGAGTCCTTGTGAATAGCGGTTTCTCTCGTGTCACTAAGTTTTTGGTATCAACTTGGCAGACTTATGCAGCTGCTTTATGATTGAAAGACTGACAAAAAGGAAATAGAGAAGGTTTGGAGATATCCCCTACTCCTGAAATGCTAACCAATGCTTATTTCAGTGAGTTTTTTTTTCACCTTCTGTTCCCAGTGGCATCTTTTACCACTTGACTTTCTTTTACCATGAACAAATGAAAGGCAGTTGTAGAATTTATCCCAGCCAAAAGTTAGCTTTAGTCTTTCAAAAGTGAGTTTTACAGTGGTCTTAAGGCATATGGAAACAACTAGACAGACCAGAAAACAAACATCCTGTGTGGCATATTGTAGCTAAGCCCTTCATTCTGATAGACTAATGACAACATTATGACTTACATAAGATAGAATCATTTGCACTATGTGATTACACAATACAAAGACAGCTTTCAAATACTGACATCATCTGCATTCAGACTTTTTCCATGAAATCCCATTTATAGAAGTGAATAAACTACTCCACCCCTACCTACATTTGAAAATTTCTACATTGATCTTGAATAAATAAATCCTTCTGATATTAGGATCGCATGCTAAGATCTACAAGGGACGTTAGAGGTCATCTAGTCCAAGCCTCTCGTTGTCCAGATGAGGAAAGTGAGACCCACAAGTTAAGGAATTTGCCCAACACTATCCAGAGCTGGGATTTGAATCCAAATCTTCTGACTCCAAATCTAGTGTTCTTTCCATTCTACTGTATTTTTTTTTTTTGATGTCTTAAAGGTTGTCCCCAATCAAATCCATAAATGCTATTTAAAATATTTAAATATATTTCTATATAAAATACATTTGAAAATGTATTTTAAAAATATAGGGCATCTAGGTGGCACAGTGGATAGAATATCTTCCTGAGTTCAAATCTGGCCTCAAACACTAACTAGCTGTGTGACCCTGGGCAAGTCACTTAACTCTGCCTCAGTTTCCTTATCTGTAAAATGAGCTGGAGAGGGAAATGGCAAAGTACTCCAGTATCTCTGCCAACTAAACCTCAGATGGGGTCAATGTGACTGAAATGGCCGAACAATAACAACAACAACATTTTAAAAATAAATTGCTAAAGGAATAAAGGCCTACATTCAGGACTCAGTGATTTCCACCTCCCTCCTTCTTCCCCACCATGGAGCCAAAATTTCTTATTTTGGCAGCATGCTTAACCAATACAATAAGAACCTGACTGTATTTGAGTGTGTAGGATTTGATGACCTTTTGCAAGGGAATGGCCAGATCTTGAGTTCAGCTTTTGGTAGGTAAGCAGTAAAATAACAAGAATTTTTGCTACTTCCCTTCTTAACATTTACTTGTCCTTTTCGAACATATTTGTATACTGGAGCCTTAATGAATTGATGAAGAGTCTGTTGTGATAAAAGTGAACAATTCTGGGGAATTAGGATTTAGAACCTTAACATCTCTTCTTGTCTTTTAATATTTATATTGCATGTCCTTTGGGATACAAATAATCATGAATACCCTTAATTTCTGGAATTGCAAAACCAAGTAATCCAGGCACAGTCGGATCATGAATTAGATGGGGGTGGGGAAGGCAGGGGGGTTGGTTTTAACAAAATGTAGAATTATTCATGAATGCTAGATTTCCATCACAATGGGATAATATGAATGAGAATTTATAATAACCAAACGCGCCTACATGGTTATTATAATGAAAATAGATTATGGAAATCTTTTAGACTGGCTTTGCTAAGTTTAAAAGAAGCAAATTAATCTCTTGATTGTAAAGCTGAAGACGCTGACTATTGAAACCCTTCTCTATAAATAGCCCCTTTGCAACATCCTTGCAGGATTCTTGAAATGCTTTTTCCTGAAGGATGTCACAGAGGTCAGAGGGCATCATATTCCGTCTGTGGTCCCCATGTCTCCTTAATCTCAGTAACCTCTTCCCTTCTGCAAAACCTCCAATCTACGAATTTCCCATGGCTGCATGCTATTTTTGCAAGATAAACATTGCATTTCCCTCTCTATTCCAGTCCTAGTCATATTGCAGTGAAAGCTGAATTCCTTCCCCAGTACATGCTGCATCGAAAAGGAAATACTGTACCTCATAGAGGCCGAGATAGGAATGGGGTAGACATGGATTGTCTCCTTATCCTGGAAGTTGCCTCCCTGTATGAAAGCATTACCTGGAGTCTCGTTGAGAGCACGGTCTCTATCTGATTTCTGGTGAGCAGCCTTTCATAGTTTGCCCTGATCTCATTGAGGAGCTGGGACAGCTCCATTCCTTTCCCATCCTCCACCTTGGCTCTAACTGAACCTTATCGATAGGATGAGCCAGCCGCTGCAGTCTGCTCTGCCTGCAATCGGAGCACAGACAGAGAAAACCCAGCAAAATGTTAAAGTAGCAGTGCTCCCTTTTTCAGAGGACCAGAATTTCTGGGCTTTGAATCCATTTTGCAGATGTACTGTTATGCAAACCACCCTTCCTGGACCTATGCACAGATGCTACCTTTTATAACTGCTGTGGGCACAATGGAGCTTTACAAGAATAGGGAAAAATAAAATGAAACTCTTCTTTCCTTGTTTCCATGTGTTGATTCACCATAAACCCCGGCTCTTTAGAGCACACAGTTCTCTTTCCTTTACTGTAAGGAAGGAAACAAACATTTATTAAGCACCTACTATGTGCCAGGAACTGTTCTAAGTTCTTTACAAATATTTTCTCATTTGGTCCTCACAATAACCCTGGGAGTTAGGTGCTATTACGATCCCCATTTTACAGCTGAAGAAACTGTGGCAGACAGAAATTAAGTAACTTGTCCAGGGTCACACAGCTAGTAAGTATCTCAGACTGGATTTGAACTTGGGTCTTCTTGAGTCTAAGCCCACTGTGTCACCTAACTGCCTGTATTGCAGGGGAAAGGAATATAATCTAAGGAGAAATGGGAATTGGTTTTCATAAGGCTTGCTTGGAAATAAGAACTAGCTGGTCAAACTTATTTCATGAGATCATATGTCTAGAACTGGAAGGGGCATCAGATGCCATTTAGTCTAGTCCCTGAAATTTTATAGATGAGTAAACTAAGGCAGGAAGGTGCTTCGGTGGAAAGAGCAACGGGCCTGGAGTTGGGAAGATCTGAGTTCAAATTTGGCCTCAGCTACTTGCTAGCTATGTGACCCTGGACAAGTCACTTAACCTCTCTCTGTTTGCCTCAGTTCCTCATCTACAAAATGGGGACACACTGGAAGAGGAAATGGCAAACCACTCTAGTATCTTTGCCAAGAAAACCCCAAATGGGGTCACAGAGAGTTGGACACGACTGAACAACAATTACCTTGGTTTATGTTGCCAAATATTTTGAGAGCTGCTATAAAAGATACTGTCAGAGTTATTGATAGCTCTCATAAGTGTATGCTATGACTGTTGAGAGCATACTGCTCAAATAACACTATGGCAAGAATGGTGTAGTGGAGGGAGCCCTGGAGATGGAGTCAGAAGACCTAGCTGGGAATCCAGGCTTTGCTGTTTACTACCACTATGACCTTGGGCCTCAGTTTCCTCATCTGTAAAATGAAGAGGCTACACTAGATGGCCTCTGAGGCCCCCTCTGGCTCTACCTCTATGGTCCCATGACGTCAGATCCAAAATACAAGTTGCAAACAAGATGAAGGTGAAAAGGCAAGTGGGGAGAGGGTATGAAGTAAATAAATCATGTGGTCCCTCTGCGGGATTCATTCAAGGAAGCTGAATAAATTGAAGCAGGGAATTGGATGAGCAAACCTCTGTTCTATTTGCATTTAAAACAGACCTTGTACAGTGAAACTGTATAAATTACTATGTGAAACTAAGGAACTCCCATGTCATTGGAGCAATGCCGGGCAGTTGTATAAAACAACACTTTTCAAAGCTACTACTTTCTCACCCATGATATCGATCAACCCTTACATCTCCCAGGGGTAGAATAGAAAGTATTCCCATTTTACAGATGGGAAAACTGAAGTCCAGAGTAGTTAAGTGAATTGCCCAAAGTAATATCGTTGGTGAAAGAGTTGGAATATAAATAGTTTTATTGCCTGATGTTGAGTGAATGTTGCCCCTTCAGTCTTTGAACCTCGAAGACTGGGGGGAGGGACCTTAGAGTCATTTGGTTTGATCTGTCCTTGAACAAGAATCCTCTCTCTCTCTCTCTCCCTCTCCCTCCAACACACCCAAGTGGGTATTTGGTCTTTGCTTGAAGAGCTCCCTGGAGAGTACAATCCACTTTCTCCTGGGGTAGCCTTTTCTGTTCTTTGTGATTGTAATGCCTAAATGTGCTTATTTGACTAATCAACCAATCAATAACCAGCAAGGTCCTGTTAAGATCCTTACCGCGTGCAAAGTACCCTTCACAAGAGATAAAAAGATCAAAAGACAAAACAAAACAAAACCAGTTCTTGCCCTCAAGGGGCTTCTATTCTTTTGGAGGAAAATAGCAGGTTCTCAAATAAGTTAAAAACAGAATACACTCACATACAATATATACACACACATATACAAAATGAATACAAGGTAATTTTGGGGTGAGGGGAGGCACTAATAGTTGGGGGTGGGGCAGGTGAGATGGATGTCAGAAAAGGTCTCTTATAGGACATAGTACTTGACCTGAGCTGTGATGGAAAGTAGGGACTCTTAAGGAGGCAGCTAGACGGTGCAGTGGATAGGGCTTTTAGAGGTAGCTAGGTGGTATAGTGGACTTAGGATCAAGAAGACCCAAATTCAAATTCTGACTTAGACACTTATTAAATGTGTGACCCTGGGCAGATCACTTAACCCTGTTTGCCTCCTCAGTTTCCTCATCTGTAAAATAAGCTGGAGAGGGAAATGGCAAACCACTCCGGTATCTTTGTGAAGAAAATTCCAAATGGGGCCACAAAGAATCATACGTGCCTGAAAACAACTGAACAACAAGAGAGATAGATGAAGGAATGCATTCCAGACACAGAGAACAGCCTGTACAAAGGTAGGTGTCATGTGTGAAGAACATTGAATGGGCTAGTTTGGTTTTGATCTCAAGAGGATGTGAAGGAGGGAAATAAGCATTTATTAAGTGCCTGTTGTGTACTAGACACTGTGCTAAGCACTTTGCAAATATTATCTCATTGATTATAACAACCCAAGGAGGTTGGTACTATTATTGTCCCTATATTACAGTTGAGGAAACTGAGGGAGACAGAGGTTAAATGACTTACCCAGAGCCACACAGCCTATGTCTGAGGCTGGATTTAAACTCAGCTCTTTCTGACCCCAGGCCCAGCTCTCTATCCACTGTGCCACTTAGCTGTCTGAAGTATGTGTAATAAGTCCAGTCTGGAGCTAGACTGTGTAGGGCCTTATATAAAGGGTTGTGTTTTATTCTGGAGGCAGGAGTTATAGGAGATTATGCTTTTTTTTTCTTTTTAGGCAATTGGGGTTAAGTGACTTTCCCAGGGTCACATAACTAGTGTCAAGTGTTTGATCTGAGACCGAACTTGAACTCAGGTCGTCCTGACTTCAGGGCTGGTGCTCTATCCACTGCGCCACCTAGCTGTCCTGAGATTATACTTTTGTAATTGTGCTTTGACTACAATGTGGAGTATTGGCTGGGGTGGGGAGTGATTTTAGACAGAGAGACCAAACAGGAGCCTGTGACAGTATTCCAGGTGTGAGGTAATGCAAGCCTTCCCAGGCTTGGCGAGCGGAGAGAGGGGAATGGCTGTGAAACATGCTGCAGAGGCAGACTTGATGAGATTCAACAACTAATTGGGTTTGTGAGTTGAGGGAGAGGGAAAGTTGAGGACAACACCAGGTTTCATACCTGGCTAATTTGAAAGATGCTGATGCCCTTGGTAGAAATAGGTAACTTCAGCAGAGGGGTGGGCTTTATGGAAAATATAATAAACTCTGTTAGCATATGTTGATTTTGAACTGACTATGGGATGTTGACTTTGATATAATAGTGGTAGCTGTCGTTTATGTAGCACTGTAAGATTTGCAAAGCCCTTTAAATATAGTATCTCATTTGATCCTCACAACAACTTTTTTTTGGTATCATTTACATTTTATAAATGAGTATACTGAGACTGATTAAGTGACTTGCACAGGATGACACGTTTAATAAGTGTCTAAGTCAGGATTTGAATTTAGATCTTCTTGACCCTAAGCCCACTATACCACCTAGCTACCTCTAAAAGTTCTCTGAGTATAGTTCATGGATTGGTAGGGGTCCCCAAGACCCCTTTGGGGGTTTGCCAGGTCAGATTATTTACCTGTAATACTCCTCCCTTTTTCCGACTATATATATCTATGTGAGGCTGGATTTTTTCCATCTACTTCAACCAAAACAACATATCACAGCAGATTGAGTGCAGAAACAGATAAGAACATTCAACTGTCTTCTATTAAGCCAGACATTAAAGAAAATTGCAGAAATATATAAAACAATGCCATTCTTCTTACCAAATTTTTTTTGCTTTGGAAAGTATTATTTTCAGTAAAATAATTTATGTTAACATGTAATGGATTTATTGTTGTTTTTCAATGAATTAGTAAAATAAATATTTTAAAATTTTATCAGTTTTAATTTATAATACAATAAATATCAATAGATATATAATCCACATAAATAAAAGGTCTTTGGGGTTCTCAATAATTTTTAACAGCATGAAGGGGTCAAGAGACCAAAAAATTTTGAGGATTGCTATAACAGACATGTGTAGATATAGGATTGGAGCTCAGGAGAGAGACTAGCATTGGATATATAGATTGAGGAGCATTTGCATAGAAATGGTTATGGAACATATGGGAGCTGATAAAATCACTCAGAGAGAGAAAAAGAAAGAGGGAAACAAAAGGGGCCCCAGGTGGAGAAGTGGGGAATACTCACAGTTAGTGGGGAGGGATATAGATCATGATCCAGTAAAGGAGACTGAGAAAGAGCAGACAAGTTGGAGAACTAAGACAGCAGTTTCTCTTTGGCTCTGTCTCTGTTTCTCTCTGTCTCTCTGTCTCTCTCTCACACCCATGCAAATAATAGTTATCACTTAGACAGTTATTTAAGGTTTGCACAGTGCTTTGCATATGTTATCTCATTTATCTTTACAACATCCCTGTGAGGCAGGTGTTTTTATCATCCCCATATTACAGTTGAAGAAACTGAGGCACACAGAGTGTAAACGACTTGCCTATGCTGGTAAATGTCCGAGGCAGGATTTGAATCCAGGTATTGCTGGCTCCAAGTCCAGGGCTCTTATCTACTGAGGCACCTAGCTGCCTCACAAACCCAGAATGGACTGAGCATTCAGAAGAAAAGTGCAGTAAACAGTGCAGAATGATGCA